AGCAGGAAGCTGGAATGTGGAGTCAGAGCTGAGACTGGAACCCACAGACTCTGATATGGGATGTAGGTATCTTAGCCAGCCTCCGAACCATGAGGCCAAATGTCCATCCAGAGGCAATAAGGGTTCAGTAATGCTCAGAGCAGGTTCTCCCAAATGTTTGGATTTTAAAGAGCCAGTGAAGGAGAGATGCTCCTATGTTGACAGCTTCTCATTTCCTCCTCTCTCCAGGGATCTCATCTTTCCTTCATAGGTGCTGAGAACAAAGAGGACCATTTACTCAGAGCAGTGAGCTGCCTTCATCACCACAAACCCATTTCAAACTCTTAAGCCTCCACTGAGTGAGTTTTCACAGTGACACTCATAGGAGAGAAGTGGAGCAGACTAAGCAGGCACATCTGCCTGTCCTGTTTGACACTGACCAAACACCCACTCAGGAACTACATATTTAGAAAAAGGAATTTCAAAAAGTTTGTGGAAATCCAATTGACAGGCAAATTTATTTTGCTGCAAAAAAATTTTAAATCCATGCATACAAAGGGGTCTTCAAAAAGTTCAAGGATGGAGTAGGGATGTAGCCTAGTAGTTAAGATCCTGTTATCTCACATCAGAACGCATGGGTTTGAGTCCCGGCTCTGCTCCCAGTTCCAGCTTCCTAATGCAGACTCTAGGAGTCAGCAGTGATGGCTCAAGTGGTTGGGTTCTGCCATTCATGGGAGAGATCTGTATTGAATTCCAGGCTCCCCTAACTCCGCCTGGCCCAGCTCCAGCTGCTGTGGGCTTTTGGAAAGTAAATGAGCATATGGAAGTGAGCTCTCTCTCCCTGCCCCCCTAAATTAAACATTTTTAAAGGTCATGGAAAATGTGTGCTATGAAAAAAATGATGCATGGATTTGAAATGTTTGCCAATAAACTTGACTTTTAATTCCACTTTCCACAAACTTTCTGACATCCCCTTATAGAGCACCAAATCCCTCTTTATTCTCCCTTAACCTCACTTTGTTCCCACCTAGTACACGCCATCCACGGCGTGGACCCACGGTGCTGGTCTCTGCTTGCCCAAATCAGGTCGCCACTGCCCCCTTATTCGGGGAAAACGGCTTCATCCCTAGTTGTACATGTTTGGTGTATGTGATGTTTTATTGCTGGTCAACCTCTTGTGAGTTGTTTTTTTCTTCTTTTTCCAATTTTGTGTAAACCACAGTTTGTGTCTAAGATATGGATTTTGCCAAGAACAGTTATTACTATAGACACCCGTTGGTAGAAAGCTGCCAGCTGTTTCTCGTGTAGTTAGACATCAGCTGTCAACTGGTGTTCTACTGACCTGTTTTCACACTTGATCTTTGTACTTTTTGAGGTTTTGGTGTAAGCACGCTTTGCCCCCAGATCTTTATGGTCAGACTTTTCCTTCATCATTTTATTTCCCATTTCTTCACTTATTTTACACTCTTCCTTGATTTTAAAGTCTCCTGAAGAGCAGATGTGTAAGTAAAATGTACATTTTATGACACATTTTCCCCTTTATTTTACTCCTTTTACTTTTTTTAACTAACTTTGATGCTTTTCTTATGCCTACATAGCTTTTTTTTAAAGATTTATTTGAAAGTCATAGTTACAGAGAGAGAGAAGGAGAGGCAGAGAAACAGAGGTCGTCCATCCACTGGTTCACTCCCCAATTGGCACAACGGCCGGAGCTGTGCTGATCCGAAGCCAGGAGCTTTCTCTGGGTCTCCCATGTTGGGGCAAGGGCCCAAGGCCTTGGGCCATCTTCTACTGCTCTCCAAGGCCATAGCAGAGAGCTGGATCAGAAGTGGAGCAGCCGGGACTCCAACTGGCACCCATATGGGATGCCAGCACCACAGGCGGCGGCTTTACCTGCTATACCACAGCGCTGGCTCCACCTACATATCTTCTATTTGATCTGGCCCACTCATTATGTTTTGTTCATCACCATCCACTTAACATTTTCTGACATCTGTAAAATTTCCTCCATTTGAGGTAAGGCATAACAAGCCTCATGGAGAAAGCTGAGAAGCTGGTTCTGCTTTATTACCTGTGGTACACATACCCATAGTAATGAAAATTAGTGTAGACAGCAGACTCATAGAGTAACAAATGCCCTAAACAGCATTCTGACCTCAGAATCAGCCCTTAAGGCTCTCTGGACTAGCTGACAAGCCCATGAGAACATTTCAGGCATGGAAAGTCCAGACACAGTGGCAAAAAAATTTTAAAGAAGTCCTACATGAGGATCTTTGTATGACCCCAGTGGAAAGAAGAGACCATCAAAGGAGTATTTATTTTTCTCTGAAGGATGGAGAGAACTTCCACCTTGCTTGTGACCCTGTCTAAATACTGACAGAGCTTGTAGACTCAAAAGGTTTCCTTAGCCTTGGCAGCTCATGGCAAGAGCCAAGAGGAGTCACTGTGCACTTCTTCTCTGGGCAGGACCTCTGTCCTTAATGAGTTGTACTATAAGAATTCACTGCAAAATTTGTTCTCAAACAGTTGTGTGTATGTGGGCACAAATTGTTCAAATCTTTAGAGTTGGTCTTCTGTATATAAAGTTAGTTAAAAATGAATCTTAATGAAGAATGGGATGGGAGAAGGAGTAGGAGGTGGGCCAGGAATGGGGGTGGGAGGGTATGGGGAGAAGAACCACTATATTTCTGAAGTTGTACCTATGAAATTTGTATTAATTAAATGAAAGCTTTCTTTAAAAAAAAAAAAAACATAGTGTAGAATAAGGATACAGAGCCCCTGCAGAGAGTGAATCATTGTTGGATAAATGGCCATCAAAAATGACACTACTTGAGGAGTGTGTGTGCTGGTGGTTGATAAATCTCCGCAGGGCTTTCAGGGACAACATACTCTGCAGCTGCTGCTGGAAGCACACAGGCAAGGTTGTCATTCATTGCCGGGAGGAGAAAAGAAGCAGCTCTCACAGGCCACCCCCAGCACCCCCAGAAATACTGATTCTCTCCAAGGTTCCTGCATCCTTCTCTGGCAAATCAGCTGCACTTCACAGAGATCTTTGGAACTGTGAAAACACCCTGCAATGCTCTTTCTGAGTCCTCAGAGAAAGAATAACCACCTGCATTTTCAAACTGTTATAAAAGCCCAAGAATAGATCTCACATACTTTGGGTTAATCATACACAGACTTTTCAGTAAATAATTGCATAAATTCAGTATATTTTTGGACAATTATGTTACATCTTTTTCATAGTATTATGGACTTAGCACTCTCATGTGTCCTAAGGCAACCTTGCTTTCTTTCAGCATCTATAATTCAAAGTCTAATTCTTGCCCTTGCCCTCAGATATGGAATTAACTGTCCTACCCAGGAGTGCTGGGTAGCTTTAGAATAGCTTTAGAAGCCACAGGCACAAGGCTAAAAAAATACGCTTGTTCCACATTCTGACTAGGATTTGGCAGGATGACACTAAAAATATCCAACAGTAAAAATCACTGTAGAGACAGAACAGATAAAGCCTTCCTAACGAAATGCCCATGGAGACAGGGGCTTTCAGCCTAGTGGTTAAAGACGCCCACATCCCGCGTGGGAGAACCTGGGTGCAAGTCCCAGCTCCAGCTCCCAACTCCAGCTTCCGGCTAATGCAGACCCCGGGGGGCAGCGGGCGATGGCTCAAGCACATTGGATTCTTGCCACCCAGATGGGTGAGCTGAGTTCCCAGCTGCCCTGCCCAGCCCAGCCCAGCCCTTGCAGGCGTCTGGGCAGGGAACCAGCAGACGGGAGTGCATGCACTACGTGCTCTCTCCCCTCCCCCTCTCATATATATAAATACAAATTCTTTTTAAAAACACCATAGATTCCTATGGACATTTCCAATTCTCTATTTTAATAAGATCCTTGGCCTTACTTTTATGAGAAGATTTGTTTTTCAATTTTTTTTTTTTTTGAGAGATACAACTAACTCCCTTGGTTATATTAATATTAAAAAACATAAAAAGCTGTATATTGTCATGCCAACTCACAAGTCTAAATTTCAGTATTGCCTCCCCAAAATTCAGGAGGCTCCATATCTATTCTTCTTTCTTGACCCTCAGCCCAGTCCTTTTTTTTTTTTTTTCTTGACAGGCAGAGTTAGTGAGAGAGACAGAGAGAAAGGTCTTCCTTGGCCGTTGGTTCACCCCCCAAATGACTTCCTGGGTCCCACTGATTGCTTGGCCAGCATCAACTTAGCACCCATACCTGAAGGGAAAGAAGTTGCAGCCTCTGAGAGAACACGAAGGAAATTTAAGAGTTTAGAATACTCAGTGGGATACACAGACAACCTCTTTGCTTAATAAAAGATAATTATAGAATGTAGAATATAGACAAGTAATGCTTCTCAAAGCTTTAAAAATTCTCACTTCACTCTTCCTCTAAGCCACCTAATTTGAATTTATTTTATATTCTTCAATTTTTTCTTTTACTAGTGTCTTTATATATTTGTGGGGCATAATTTTTACTCAAAAACTCTAGTTTCTGATTCCCATGGGTATCCAAATTGGTGCCCTGGTGCTACCTACGCTGATTTGTGAGCATCAACTGTGAACATCTCTTCCCTACTCTGCATTCAAGGCCATCACGTTTGCAGCTTGAAATCAGCAAACTGGAAATATGTACACCATGGAAATCAGCAAAGGCTATTAATCAGGACTACCAAGTGGAAATCCTGTTGTTAAACATTTGTAGATAAACTTTGGGTATGCTTCTCCATTTCCCCAAAACCAGTCAAAATGTCAGAGCATAAGATAAGTGAACATTAAGAATTATCAGAGTCATGCGCTACTCATTGTGCTTGATAATTTCTGCTCTGTAAGTTCACATAGAATATATTTTGGTTCTTTGTATAATTTCTACAACATTTCTTGGGTAGGTCCCCAGAAACAACCCTGTAAAGACAGAAATATAATTGGATTACAGCACATTTTAGCTATGATATCCAAGGCACATTGCATTAGCTACTGACCAGTGTCAAGTAATTTCCAGATATGTTTGATCCATCCCCAGAAGGTTTTATTTCCACAACAGACAAACACAGAGTTCAGTCATTTCTAGTTAGTAACATTACTGGTCTAATATCCAACTTTTTTCATGCATTAATATATGCTATGCTCTACCCTCCCCAACCATTCTGTAGTAAACACGTCTTCTAAACAGCATGGAAGGACAGGATTCTACAAGCTCGGCGGATGTGGCTTTGCCAAAATCTACAACAGCCTGAAGGGATGTTAACTTCTTTACTGGAGCTAAAGAGGGATGGGTTAGTAATTTGTTTTCACTCACCAGTGGTCTGTCATGTATTCCCACCCCGCCCCCACCCTTCCACATCCCATTATTCCTAGCCATGTAATGGCCTCAGATAACTCATCACTGGAAACTGTTCATCAGAGAGGTTCTCATTTTGTTGTTCATTTAGCACCTGAGTTTAGGCAAGAGAAAAGTTCTTCCTGAAGGTTCTGTAGAGTTAAACTCCCCTGCCTTCTTATTGGCTCACTGACAGAGCCATGGATGCCCAAGTGAGGAAGCCAGGCCACCCTGGTCTTCCTTCAGCTGCCTTGGGATAGTACCGGCCTGATTCCTCTCTGGGGGGAATGACACTGTGAGCCACATCTCAGACCTGAGCCTACCATTTTTCCCTGCTCTCTGCCTTTCTCTCCTCAACTTCCAACAGGATTTCCTCTGACATTGCCCCTAAATTTTTACTTGCCTGTTAAACTTGGCTAGATCTGGGTGTGTTCAAAGGCACAAAGCCACGGCCTTGTTGGAGCTTTGGGCATACGCCTGTCGTGGCCACAGCAGCTCCCAGCACAAGACTGTTCTGACTGAGGAGTCCTGTGCTCTGTGTTTCCTTCTATCCTGATACAGTCCGTTTTACATGCCTCCACGTTCCACAACATTCTATTGTCTTCTTCTGTGTTTTACTACCTAGTACTGAAGGAAGATTCTGAAGGCAGAGATGTTTTCCAATTCTTCCATTTCCCCCCCAAGTCAGAAACCATCAGATGCCAAAATCACAGGCCTGGATCTAAAATGGACCCGTAACAAAGACTTTTCTTGTTAAGACCTGTTACCTTGAGCACATCCTAGGCTCTTCATCAGGCCTCTACTTTTCTTTCTAAACAAATATATATGACCAACATTGTAAAATATTTCTATATGGCTTTTAAATGTAAATAATTTCTTCAAACCAGGAGTTACTTCCAATCTTTTCTGAAAGGATAGATTTCGTGAGTATATTTTTTGGACTTTGTTGTCATTTTTTTGTTCTACTGAACTGTAGGAAAAAATGTGAAGTATGGTTTCTGCTTATTGAGCGATATGCTATATGGTATGTGGGTTGTTAAAAGGTATAAATAAGGCATCATACTGCATCTACCATCTACTGTTGGCTTTTTGTACTCCTCATTTTGTCTTCCAAATTTACTTACTTGGTACAGGTACATCTGATTCATGTGTCTTAACTGTTCTTTAGTATTTTATTCACGAATATGTCACAATTGATTCATTCATTTGTGGTGAACATTTGGTGGACATTTTGGCTAATTTCTTTTTATGCATCTATTTTTTCTCAATGGCAAACAATGATTCATTGAGTAGATTTGTGTGCATCTCATTTTTCCACGAGTGCAAGTTTTCTCTACGAAAGATAACTAAAATCATAACTTGCTATCCCCGTATTACTCCCAAAGATATTGTATCAGTTCATAAATTCTCATTGGTAGCTTATGAGAATTCTCCTCACATCCTTGCCAACACTTGATAATTTTTTTATTTTTGCCATTTTGATGGTTGTACAATCTTTTTTGTATGTCCCTGAAGAAAGATATATATCTTCAGATTGAAGAAACTTGAGTCCTGAGCAGAATAAATAAAAACAAAGTCACACTTAGTAGCATCACAGTGAAACTTCAGAATAGCAAAGACAAAGAAAACTCTTCAAAGCAACACAAAGGAAAGTACAATTTACTTACAATGGAAGGACAGGCAGACTGACAGATTTCTCAAGGTAACGATACAAGTCAGAAAACAAAGGGATGATATCTTCAAAGTGCTAAGAGGAATTGAAAAAAAATGTCAAACCACAATTCCATATGCTACTGTTCAATTATTCTATAAGTGGTTGTATCCATACATCCCCAACTGGTCTCACTACCTTCTTCAAAAACAGATACTGTTCCTTGATCAGGTATTTGAAACTGAGTAGATGTCTAGAAACTCATGCCCCCGGTCACATGATGGGTCCAAAGGGTAGGTATGAAAATAAACAGGGACCGGTGCTGTGGCATAGTGATAAAGCCACCGCCTGCAGTGCCGGCATCCCACATGGGTGCCAATGCAAGTTCTGGCTGCTCCACTTCCAATCCAGCTTTCTGCTATGGCCTGGGAAAGCAATGGAAGATGATGGCCGAAGTGCGTGGGCCCCTGCACCCGTGTGGGAAACCTGGAAGAAGCTCCTGACTCCTGGCCTTGCATCAGCGTAGCTCCGGCCGTTGTGGCCAACTGGAGAGTGAACCAGCAGATGGAAGGTCTCGGTCTGTTGGTCTGTCTGTCTGTCTGTCTCTCTCTCTCTCTCTCTGCCTCCCCTTCTGTCTCTGTGTATCTAACTCTGACTTTCAAATGAATAAATATTTTAAAAAAGTAAAATAAAAACAAACAGAGAATCATCTCTGAGACCAGTTCAACCTTGCCCCCTCCAAGTTTTGGAGGTGCCTGTCGCTCCCCCTCTTCGCGGAGGAACGACACAGGACCCTGCGCTGTTCTTTCGTCTGCTCGGCCCTTCCCTGGTTTGCTGCTGGTTCTTCCCGGGTTGACTACCGTCCCTTCCACCTCCGTGGAAGGGCGGTTCCCCCTGCCACTTTCCCCACTTCCGTGGGGGAGCGGTACACCGCCGGCCGGCTCTCTCGGGGGCTGCTCAGGTGTTCCTTCTGATAGATGTTCCTGGTGCATGTTGTCTCTCTCCTCCTTTATAGTCCTCTTCCACCAATCCCAACTCTGCTACCCACACGCCGAGTACGCTGCTCTCCTCCAATCAGAATCAGCTCCTGCTGCTTATTGGTTGAACTGGAGGCAGCTGTGTAGAAGCTGTTTCCTCCTCTCCCAGCGCCATATTGTGGGAGAGCAGATGCATAGAATAAGTCTTAATTCCAGTAACAGTCTAGTCCGAGTTGCTCCCAGTTGCTCCCCACAGTGCCTATTCTTTATTTCTGTCCCTTACATCTGAGAGTCCCAATAGGAATCTTTCCTTAAGATTAATAAAAACTGAAATAGAAGCCAAATGGGACTAAGAGAAAAGAGAAGAGAAATACAAGGACAATTCAAGAAGTTTTAGGGGTCAGTATTGTGGCACAGCAGGTTAAAGCCCAGCATGCAGTACTGGCATCCCATACAGGCACCTGTTCGAGTCCCGGCTGCTCCACTTCCAATCCAGCTCCCTGCTCTGGCCTGGGAAAGCAGGAGAAGAAGGCACAAGTCCTTGGCCCCCTGTACTTGCTTGGGAGACCCAGAAGAAGCTCCTGGCTCCTGGCTTTGGATCAGCTCAGCTCTGGCTGTTGTGGTTATTTGTGGGGTAAACCATCAGATAGAAAACTGATCTCGCCCTCTCCCTCCCTCTCCGTAACTCTTTCAAATAAAGTGAATCTTTAAAACAATAAAAAAGATGACGATGTTCTACTGAGAGTTCATTTTTAACTGATTCTGAGTGTAGAAGTAGTCAAGATTAAGTGATTCATAGAGCCTAATCACTGTGAAATACAGGAGACAAAAAGTAATGAATAAAAACATTGCCCATCAGCAAATGAGCTTCTATAGACCTACCTACAAACAACTTTCCACCTCAGAAAAAAAGAGCAACTCAACTTCTCTGTATACACCCCCATCACAGGCACAGACACCGGGTACCTCTGGACGTCCTTGTGTTCTACATTTTTATTCTTCAGTCAAACTCAGGACAACATAATCCATTTAAACCACAGAATTTAAGAACTGAAAAATGTTGAAAAGGCTTTTTAATATAGCGCTTTCATTGCATAGATGGGTGTCAAAGATCACAGGTTGAGCTGTGTGGAGTGACAGAGCTAGTGAGGGACAGATTTAGGGCTAGAAATCTTGAGTCCTTAGGCCTCACTGTCTCTGCAACCACATGAATTCTTGGAGTGCCTTTCCTCAGACATCTAGCACAACGCTCTGCCTGGAGTAGACATCTTCCAAATGCTGGCTGTCCGCTGTGTCCTTCTTGTTCCTTCTCTTCATTTTTTCTTCACTAGAAAGTTCTTGGATTTGATGTTAAGCTTGCTATCCTAGAACTTTGCCATGAATCTGAAGATTTCACATTCTAGGTATCAGAGAGGTTGCAATAGTTAAATGGAATGAGGAGAGGGCTTGGAGCAGATAGGACACTGATGTGGGAAAATCAAATGTGACCCCGCAATTTGGAGTGGATTCTGCTCTTAACCTAAATACTCCTTAAATTTAGTCTAATGCTTTAATATCCTAAAAGAAAAAATAATCCAATTCCAAAAGATGAAGGCTTCAAAAAGCTTTGAAACAGGGGACAGCGTTCCCATATGGGCGCCAGTTTGAGACCAGCTGCACCACTTCTGATCCAACACCCTGCTAATCCACCTGGGAAATCAGCGGAAGATGGCCCAAATGCTTGGGTCCCTGCACCCATGCGGGAGACCCAGAAGAAGTTCCTGGCTCTTGGCTCCAGCCTGGCCCAGTCCCAGCCACTGTGGCTATTTGGGGAGCAAATCAGCAGATGGAAGATTTCTCTCTCTCTCTTTCTCTCTCTAACTCTGCCTTTTAAGTAAATAAAAACTAAATATTTTAAAAAAAATATTTGAAACAAAAATAAATCTTACAATATACATTATTAAATTTAATTAGATTTTGCCATCAAATGTTCTCTGTTCTTGTGCCAAAGTCTCCCACATTTCCTGTTCCTCAGTGGTCTCACCCTCTTACCTTCCTCCTCAAAATTCCAGAATACCTCTCTCTTTGTTCAGGATTGCAATCCTCTACCTCAGCACCTTGCTACTTGGCAAGGCAAAAGCAATTTGATTTGCCAAATATCCCATAATCCTCAAGCCCACTCTGCTCAGGAAGCTCAGTGTGTTTGGCCAGCGTACAAGCATAGCACATGCATGGTTCTCTGTGCTGAGTATGGGATCAACAGCTCCTTTTCTCAGCACCACGTGGCTCTGAACATCATTCTGTATCAATAGACTGGCTAGACCCTACCTGATCACAGTAGTCAGGTTTCTGGAATTCTGTGTAACCAATCAAAGTAAGAAGACTCATATCTACTTGCCACCTTCCTAGGTTAGGAAACTCCAGTCACTTGTTCAGGGTCATACACTTGTCCATACTCAGACAGGGACTCAACCACAGGTGTATCTGGCCCCAGAATCAGCCCTTAAGGCATTCGGATCCAGCTGAAAAGCCCATGAGAGTATTTCAGGCATGGAAAGCCAAGACACTGGCCAAAAAAAAAAACATAAGCAAAAAAAAAAATACCCAAACCCTAAATGAAAGATCTCTGCGAGTGAGATCCCAGTGGAAATAACAGGGCCATCAAAGAAGGAGGTACCTTTCTCTGAAGGGAGGAAAGAACTTCCACTTTGACTGTGACCTTGTCTAAATATGATAAGAGTCGGTGAACTCAAATGGCTTCCATAGCCATGGCAACTCATGACAAGAGCCTAGGGTGATTACTGACGCCATAAACAAGAGTGTCAATTTGTTAAGTCAACAACAGGAGTCACTGTGCACTTACTCCTCATGTAGGATCTCTGTCCTTAATGTGCTGTACATTGTGATTTAATGCTATGACTAGTACTAAACAGTATTTTTCACTTTGTGTTGCTATGTGGGTGCAAACTGTTGAAATCTTTACTTAATATATACTAAACTGATCTTCTGTATATAAAGAAAATTGAAAATGAATCTTGATGTGAATGGAGGGGAGAAGGAGCGGGAAAGGGGAGGGTTGTGGGTGGGAGGGAAGTTATGGGGTGGGAAAGCCATTGTAATCCATAAGCTGTACTTTGGAAATTTATAATCATTAAATAAAAGTTTAAAAAAAAACCACAGGTGTATACTCTGATTCACCTCACTAAACACCTCTCCCAAAGATGGTAAAGTGAGAGCTACCGTGGTCAACTCCCACTTCTGGTGAGCACAGGCGAGCCAATCTGCTCTCATGCCCTTAACACAGTCCCACACTCACAACCCTGAGGCCATCAACCAAGTCAAGTGAGCACTTGTCAGAGAGTGTGTTCATTGTACCCCATGAGTCCTCCTGTCATGCCGAGTGGATACAGTAGACAGTACAGTAACACTGTTACCAACAGTTGAAATTTTCACCTCTGAGTATTTATTCAATAAATCCTTAAAGATTTTTATCTTTGATATATTTTCATTATTTATTTAGTCAGAAAATAATGATCCTGTTGGTCAGTGTCAACACTGTGATGAGTAGGATTGCCCATGAATTTGAAGACAGAAACTATTAATTTTATCTTTTAAATATGTTATAACAGTGTTCAGTACTCCAGGATTCCATGAAAGGTAAGCTTCTAAAAACAAGTAGAGAAAAAAGTCTGGCTGATCCTCTAAGGTCTTTAAATTTTAATATTTTTAAGACAAATTATTTAGACAAAACACACACACCTGATTTTCCCTTGTGTAAATAATGTCCTATTCTAAACAAGTCGGTTACCACATTCCCTAGGAAAAAGTCACCATAAAACATCACTATAATCATTTATATCCCCATGGGAGTTTAAAATGATCAGAGAATAAAGATTCCTTAAAATTGTTGGTTTTTTTTTTTTTTTTCCATTTTGACAGGCAGTTAGAAAACAGAAGGAACCGGAGTGAGCTGCCATACAAGCCTCCTCCCGGAGGGTAAGGACCATAATAAGATTTCCCATACGGAGACCAGGAGGAAGCACCTGGCTCCTGGCTTCGGATTAGTGCAGTGCGCCGGCCGTAGCAGCCATTTGGGGGGTGAACCAACAGAAGGAAGACCTTTCCCTCTGTCTCTCTCTC